TTAGGTAAACAAACACTCTGGTCATTTAGGTAAACAAACACGTTGTTTATTTAGGTAAACAAACACTCTGGTCATTTAGGTGAACAAACACGTTGTTCATTTAGGTAAACAAACACTCTGGTCATTTAGGTAAACAAACACTAGTAGTTTATGTAAACAAACACCCTAGTTGTTTAGGTAAACAAGCACTCCGCTCGTTTAGGTAAACAAACACTCTTCTTGTTTAGGTAAACAAACACTCTGGTTGTTTAGGTAAACAAACACGTTGTTCGTTTAGGTAAACAAACACTCTGGTCGTTTAGGTGAACAAACACTCTGGTTGTTTAGGTTTACAAACACTCTGGTTGTTTAGGTAAACAAACCCTGGTCGTTTAGGTGAACAAACACTCTGGTCGTTTAGTAAACAAACCCTGGTCATTTAGGTAAACAAACACTGCTTGTTTAGGTAAACAAACACTCTGGTTGTTTAGGTAAACAAACCCTGGTCATTTAGGTAAACAAACTCTCTGCTCGTTTAGGTAACACTCTGCTCGTTTAGGTAACACTCTGCTCGTTTAGGTAAACAAACACTCTTGTCGTTTAGGTAAACAAACTGGTCGTTTAGGTAAACAAAAACTGGTTATTTAGGTAAACATACACTCTGGTCATTTAGGTAAACAAACACTGGTTGTTTAGGTAAACAAACTCTGGTCATTTAGGTAAACAAACACTGGTTGTTTAGGTAAACAAACACTCGTGTTGTTTAGGTAAACAAATACTCTGATCCTTTAGGTAAACAAACACTGGTCGTTTAGGTGAACAAACTCTCTGCTCGTTTAGGTAAACAAACACTGGTTGTTTAGGTAAACAAACACTGGTTGTTTAGGTAAACAAACTCTGGTCATTTAGGTAAACAAACACTGGTTGTTTAGGTAAACAAACACTCTTGTTGTTTAGGTAAACAAATACTCTGATCCTTTAGGTAAACAAACACTGGTCGTTTAGGTAAACAAACACTGGTCGTTTAGGTAAACAAACACTGGTTGTTTAGGTAAATAAACACTATGATCGTTTATGTAAACAAACACTGGTCGTTTAGGTAAACAAACTCTGGTTGTTTAGGTAAACAAACAATCTAGTTGTTTACCCTAACCCTAACTATGGTGATTCCCTCCTTTTCTGAGGATCAGAGGCGGGAGAGACAGCAACAAGTTAAAGGTTGAGCCTCAAACAATCAGTGAGTGTGGAAACTGAGTCTTATCAAAATTATTCTTTAACCATGAGAGCAGAAACTTCTCATGATCAAACGTGTTAAATTTTATCTGTCAATCGTTGTTTTATGTAGAATTTATGAGTAAAACAGATTTTTAAAATCTGATCAAAGCGAAGAATCAGAACAAAGACACAAGAGTCTGTTGGAGTCCGAGTGTGAGCGAAAAAATGTTTTCATTTTTTATCCGTCTGTCTTCATTACTGGGGACTGCATAGTATATGCAGACACCTATTATTATCCACCCAACATGGGTTTCTTAACTGTACAGTATTTATTGGGAACTGCCATGCATTGCATGGAGGTCAGGCATTGCCTTGCAGCAAGGCAATGCCTGACCTCCATGCAATGCACGGCCTCCAGTTAATGCTTGGCCTTCAGTTAATGCATGGCCTTGAGTTAATGCATGGCCTTCAGTTAATGCATGGCCTTCAGTTAATGCATGGCCTTCAGTTAATGCATGGCCTCCAGGTAATGCATGGCCTCCAGTTAATGCATGGCCT